GAAGCAAAGTAATGATATCTGAAATCAAAGGGAATACCAAAATATCGATGGACTTTGAAGTCACATCATGTGGATTTTGGCAGGATGGAAAGTTGATATAACAGTAAGGACAGGTGCTTCACGGGGGTCACTGATGTCTACAGAATGCGACAGTTAAATCCTAGAACTTCAAGGAGATAACTCCCACTGCGGCATTTACAGAAGTAATGGAGGGAGTGAAGTAGAAATGCTTTTCACACTTTTTTCATTGAAAGCTGAAACAAAAAAAAAAAACAAGACCAATCTACAGAGTGGTAATACTACATTTTCAGTGAGCACATACTTTGTTATTTTTGTATTGTACACCTGGGTTGGTCCATATTTGTTTGGTATTGTTTTAAATATAGAGATCTGAAAATCAGCCACTAGAGGGAGCTCAGTATTTGCCTCATTTCATCTACTTAACCTCCCTAGCGGTATGATTATTTCCGATTTTTGGTGCTGAAAGCGGTACCATTATTTTGCATGGAAATATGTTGTTTTTTTATTGTAGGCTGTAATTTTTAGGAATAACTCACTGAAATCTGTCCGAACAAGAGTCTAGTAAACATCCCAGGTAGGATAAAATTTGAAACACGAAATCATAAATTATAATTTAATAAATATTCATAAAAAATAATAATATAATAATAATACATTTAATTCAATAATATAATCAAACCAAAAACACTGAAATTTGAAATATAGCGCCAAGTTCGCACATCACTGAGCGAAGTTGCAGAATCGTTTTCAGTGTCTGATGAGGAATTTCCCCACACGAATCATTATCACTCAATTCTGCAAGTGGTTCTGATTTACTATCGCTGTTCTCTAGCCGGTCTAAAACCGCTTTTGACCTAAAGGGACGCTTTTTGGACGCCATGGACGTTTCTCAGTTTCCAGGCAGAAAGAACAGACAAAATGCAGGCAGGGCGCCGGACAAAGCACTCGGGACAAAATGTATGTGAAATGGTTTGATACAGGAATGTTTTACTATGTAAAATTTGTTTGGAAAAAAATGAAATTTTTTAAAATTTTCAAATTTCCCGCCGCGGCGGCGGCGCCCGTACGTCCCGACGTCACAGGGACCGGAACACAGAAGCCGGATGCCGGCATCGGCCAGAGGAGATGGCCGGGGACGCTGCAGGGGACACATCGCGGGAGCGCAGGACAAGGTAAGCTCTACAGGGACTCCCTATGCAGCGCCGCATGGTAAGCCCGAGTGTAGCTCGGGGTTACCGCTTTTGATACTGACATTTTACCCCGAGCTACACTCAGGAATACCGCTAGGGAGGTTAAAGTGTAAACCTCAGACATGAAATATGAACAAAGCCTATCCCTCTATAGTGTGTCTCAATCCAGAGCACTAAGTGTCATTTCTTTCTGCTGCTTCATTTCTTTGCTATCTGCATGATTCACAAGTTTCCTGACACCAAGAGAAAAAAAGGTGACAGGGGAGGGATCTGCAGTACACAGCCTGTGATTGACAGCCGCAGCTTGGTTCCTGTGTGATGTGTGAACGGAGGTATGCCTCTTCCCTCCAATCAGCTATCAGAGCTCTCCTTACTGTGCTCTGCAGTGTGTCATTTCAGCACTCTTTTTTTTTTTTTCTGACAGCTCAGACAAGCTCTATAAATTCTGGACTTTGAAAGGATGTAGAGAAAAGAAAACTTCAGATAAACAGGTACAACTTATGTGGGAGGATTGGTTTCATCTCTGTGTATCACCTGAGGCCAGTCACTTTACTGGGTATACAGCAGGGGTAAACTGACCATTTGGAAACTCGGGCACCAACTGAGGGCCCGGGGTCAGTAGGGGGCCCCATGAGATGCCCCTGGTACCTTTTTCATAGGTTTTTTTGAGATTGGGCAAGGGCACAGGGGCCCCATGATCCCCTATTGCCCAGGGGCCCTATGAGTTGTCAGTCCGCCCCTGGTATACAGTATGTAAGGGTTTACAATCATTTTAAAGCAGACCTTTCACTTGCCATACAAGCCTGTGTAAAATTTAAAGCCGAAGCTTTTCATTAATAAAAAAAATTAATGTTTCAATTAATGTTTTCCCCTCCCCCTCCCCAAGTGACCCCTATACATATCCAAAGAACAAAGGTATACCTCTCAGGCAAACAATCCAGATCAATCCACAACCGGTGCACAATGCAATGCAATTGGAAGAAGGGTCAGCCGCACTCCGGAGGATAGATGAATATAGTGTGTATTTATCGATCCATTGATGATTGGTTATGATTAAGCAAGAGATGGTGTGAAACGCGTTAACAGGTTCTGTATTCATGTCCTGGTGTTTTGTGTGTCCTATGGATCAATAAATCACACTATATTTATCTATCCTCCGGCGTGCGGCTGACCCTTCTTCCTATTGACCCCTGTACATAACTACTGTGAATATTTTGCTGCCTTCTCCTGTATGTAATCGGCAGTAAAATATTTAATAAAACATTATTAACCTAAAAAAGGCATCCTTGGGCTCTAGTCCGGTGATTTTGCCTAGACTGGGATGATGTCAGTCTGCTGCAGGCATGGTGAAGCATTTCCTCAGTCCCCCAGTGATGAGACCGCAACATTGTAACTTGGTAGAAAGTCACCTGGGAACGTGCAACAAGGGCTGATCTGTGACAGAAATTTGTGAACTGCCTGGGGACCAGGATTTACATGATTGGGTCATCTCTGAGCTGGCTTCTCAGTCCAGGAAGTAGATGGTAAAACAAGATAAATATTTGACACACTAATAGAGGCCATAGACGGTTCGTTTATCAGCCGATTTTTTTGTTCGAAAAATGAAACATCGTTTATTCTGTAAACCGATGTTGCCACCAATGATCGCGAAAATCGGCCGTTTTGCACGAATTTCCCAGCATGACCAATAAACGAAATGAGGAGGAACCGCGAAAATCCCCACTAAGAGTGCGAAAATCTGCTGATTATTCTTTCGGACGAAAAATCGGCCGATAAATGAACCGTCTATGGCCTGCATAGGAAGAAAAAAAAACCCAGATGTATAATGTGAAGGCAAGTACATTAACCACACAAATAAAGTCCTTAAAGTCCAAAGGGGGTTAAGGGATATTCTTTGAATCAAACATTGTTTGATTCAGTGGCAGCCAATTCAAAAAGAGCTAGAAGAGACTCCGTGTGAACCATAAAAGAGAGAGAAGCAGCGCCATCTAAGTGTAGCATTATAAGCAAATCATTTATTTCCACAAAATTGGCAACTCACAATAGTATTAGTCAAATGAGCGCTTGTCAAACTGGTGTCAACCTCTCTGTGCAACTCCTTTCCAGTCCCGCTGCAGGCAGGTCTCCAAAGAACTGTCCTTGGCTGTGCTAGTGGTTCCCAGTACTTCCTGGTAAGTCTCCAAAGAACTGTCCTTGGCTGTGCTAGTGGTTCCCAGTACTTCCTGGTAAGTCTCCAAAGAACTGTCCTTGGCTTTGCTAGTGGTTCCAAGAACTGTCCTTGGCTGTGTTGGTGGTTTCCAGTACTTCCTGGTAAGTCTCCAAAGAACTGTCCTTGGCTGAGCTGGTGGTTCCAGGTACTTCCTGGTAAGTCTCCAAAGCACTGTCCTTGGCTGTGCTAGTGGTTCCCAGTACTTCCTGGTAAGTCTCCAAAGCACTGTCCTTGGCTGAGCTGGTGGCTCCCAGTACTTCCTGGTAAGTCTCCAAAACACTGTCCTTGGCTGAGCTGGTGGCTCCCTACCCAGTCCAAAACACTGTCCTTGGCTGTGTTGGTGGCTTCCAGTACTTCCTGGTAAGTCTCCAAAACACTGTCCTTGGCTGTGTTGGTGGCTTCCAGTACTTCCTGGTAAGTCTCCAGTCTCCAAAGCACTGTCCTTGGCTGTGCTTGTGGTTCCCAGTACTTCCTGGTAAGTCTCCAAAACACTGTCCTTGGCTGTGCTGGTGGTTCCCAGTACTTCCTGGTCCTGGTGGTAAGTCTCCAAAGCACTGTCCTTGGCTGTGCTGGTGGTTCCCAGTACTGTTGGTGGTTCCCAGTACTTCCTGATCCTGGTGGTAAGTCTCCAAAGCACTGTCCTTGGCTGTGCTGGTGGTTCCCAGTACTTCCTGGTCCTGGGTCTTCAAAGCCTGTGCTGGTGGTTCCCAGTACTTCCTGGTCCTGGTACTTCCCATACCAGGAAGTATTGGGAACCACCAGCTCAGCCAAGGACAGTTCTTTGGAGAATTACCAGGAAATACTGGGAACCACCAGCTCAGCCAAGGACAGTGCTTTGGAGACTTGCCTGGAGAGGGACCAGTCAGGAGTTGCACAGCGGTTGATACCAGTTTGGCAAGCTCTCATTTGACTACTACTTTTGTGAGTTGCCCATTTTGTGGAAATAAATTAGTTGCTTATATTGCTGCACTTAGATGGCGCTGCTTCTCTCTCTTTTACAGGAAGTAGATGGTGACCCTGAATGATGCCTGAACAAAGATGGCATCGTCCTTCTGAAGAGGAAAGCAAATAAAGGCATTATCAGGGGAATTACTGATTAAAAAGGGAAAATCTAATGCCACTTACAGCAGGAACTTTATAAAGTTTAAAATGCCACTTCAGTTACCCAGCTAGTTTGCCTGTATTGTAAAAGCAGAACTCCATTTTTTTTACTAATCAAACCAAAAGCCAGGCATGCTACAGAATAAAAAAAACAGCTCTCTCTGCAATACTCACCTTATTTCCAGTGATATTCCCTGCAGAAACTCAGCTTCACTGCTGACCGTTGGATCCCTTCCAGGGACAACCAGCATCATTCAACTCACTTCCTGTAAGCCCAGGCTGTCATGGACACACCCCCTGCTACACTTGGGTCCAATACCAACACTGCAGAGATCAGTGCTGAGATCATAACGGCAGTGCTATTCTCCGCAGTATTAAAGATCACCCAGGGGCGGACTGACCATTTGGAAACTCAGGCACTGCCCGAGGGCCCGAGGTCAGTAGGGGGCCCATGAAATGCCCCTGGTACCTTTTTCCATAGGCTTTTTTGAGTTTGGGCAAGGACACAGGGGCTCCATAATCCCCTATTGCCCGGGGGCCCCATGAGTTGTCAGTCCGCCTCTGTGATCACCCGTACATACAGTATTAAAAAAATTTGCACTGGGGGACCATATGAATGGCAGGAGAAAGTTCTTTGGCTTTTAACTGGAGAGCTGCTTTAATTAACCCCTTTTTACCCAGCCCCGGAATCCCTTTAACAGGGTTGGTAAGCTTCACTGGGAGAGGAATGGCCAATCACATGATAGCTGTCCCGCCAACTTCCGATGATTAGTAGAGCCCAAGAGCTATTTTTGCCGGCTCGGTCACCGTGCTGGGAGCTTGCAGCAACCAGGCTCTTGCTACAGAAAGCTCTGCCGCCCATGGATGCAAATGTTCGCCGTGTGGGTGTTAAAGCTCAACCTCTTCAGGGGTGGAAAGAGGTTAAAGTGTGGGCATAATATCGATATTATTTTTGCTGACAGGTGGAAGCAGATGCCATCTGTTCACATACTTAGCCCTAATATGAAATAACCAGCCGTGACATTCTAGGGGGTGATTAGCCGACTCTCGGGGAATTCGATACTCAGGTTATGTACACTTTTCCAGCTCCACTAATGGGAAAACGATTTATGCTGGAGGCGGGTGGACAGGTCTGAAATTCCTGTAATTAGTATATTTAATATTCCATACTTCTGACAAAGGTGCTGACAGCTCCGCCACGCTGGACGGACCTGCCAGGTAAGGAAGCTCCATTTTATGAGAAAAATTGAAGCCCTCCATGACAATCGCAGACTTCTATTCCATCAAATTGTATTGGAAGCCAAAAACCAGATGGAGTACTGTCAACTATTGGAGTTCTAAAATGATAGCACCAATCAAAAACTTTTACAGGGTCATAGACTGCCTGCTGATTGGCTTTAAATCTCAATTCCACCCAAATTAGGTTGGTAGCAATATCAGATCCCATAGGAAGAAGGGTCAGTCGCACACCGGAGGATTGATGAATATAGTGTATATTTATTGATCCATAGGACACACAAAACACCAGGACATGAATACAGGACCTATTAACGCGTTTCACACGATCTCGTGCTTAATCAGAACCAATATCAGATCCCACTGCTGCCACCATTATGTGACGGTAACAGTCTCAGTTCCAAGAATGTGCCGACCAGGGGCGGACTGACAACTCATGGGGCCCCCGGGCAATAGGGGATCATGGGGCCCCTGTGTCCTTGCCCAAACTCAAAAAAGCCTATGAAAAAGGTACCAGGGGCATCTCATGGGGCCCCTTACGGACCCCAGGCCCTCAGGCAGTGCCCGAGTTTCCAAATGGTCAGTCCGCCCCTGATGCCAACTGAACTCTTAAAGTGGTTGTAAATGCTCAAGGCTATTACCATCTTGTATTCTATGCATGAAGGTAAACCCCCCCCCCGCCCCCCCCCAATCCTTACCAGAGCCCACTCTGATCCAGCGACGTTCTCAGTGGTGTATTTAGGTTTTGTACTGCCCTAGGCAACACAAAAATTGTCTGCTCCCACGGCCACCGACCAACACCACCCCCACTTCCCCCTCCAGCAGAGAGAGCCTGACATTGCTGGCATTGACCAACAACACCCCTGCCCCCCACTTGGGAGAGCCTTCCACTACCCCCCCCCAGCGAGAAAAAGAAAAAGACGCTCATCTTCACAGCTCCGGACATCCCCGGGAATGAGAGTCAGGCTCTACATACATCATCAAGCAGCCGCAGCCGCCTCACTCGGATCCCACCTGGTTCCCATGGCATGCATGCCCCCTTCTTTCATCCATTATTCTGGGGGAAGGTGCTGCCCCCCTGAAAACTGCCACCCTAGGCAAATGTCTTGCTTGCCTTATGGTAAATGCGCCCCTACTTGACAGCCTCTGCTGTCTGGGAACTCTTCCTCCACATTGGCTGAGCCCATTGGCTCCTGCTTCTGTCAATCACAGCCAGTAAGCCAATGAGGAGAGAGTCAGGGGCGGGGCCAGCTATGGCACTATGCGTCTTATGGATGCATAGAGCAGGGGCTCGGGGACAAGCACACAAAGCGGTGCCCCCAGGGCGTGCGTATTTCCCTGGGGGCAATGCTTGAGGGGGAGGAGCCAGGAGTACCAGCAGGGACCAAAAAAGAAATAAAACAAGCTTTAGTGTCACCTTAAGCTGGCCATAGAAAGAGCAATTTCCTTCCTGCAACCACAGGCTCAAAGAAAATCACTCGATTCCCCCATCGAGACAGTCAGTGTTGATGGAGGAATTTTCCTAACTGTATCAATATTTCCAGATGGCCGTGTTTTACAATCTGACAAAGAACCTCTTGAATGAAATCACATTCTAATAGACATCAAACATGATATTAATCCTGTGCATATTCTCCTTAGGAAATTCAATGTGTCCCCATCTGTCCGCTGACATTATAGCATAGACATGTTTGGTACCCACTTGATTGTTATTTTTTTATACATTTGGTTATACACTTGTTATAAATGTAATTTTTTTCATTGCAGGATTTATGGATTATAATTGCATTTTGGTTCTGGCGTAAAAAAAACCCCACCAGACCAAAATGTGTATTGCTTTAAACTGGGCTGTGTTTGGCTATTGCCCAACGAATAAAATTCAAAACATTAACAATAACATATAAAGCTATCTATAACTCTGCCCCAAATTACATCACCAATCTTGTCTCCAAATACCACCCAAACCGTCCTCTCCGCTCCTCCCACAAGCTCTCTAGCTCCCTTGTCTCTCCCTCTCACACTCATCTTCAGGACTTCTTCAGAGCTTCCCCCATCCTCTGGAACTCTCTACCCCAATCTATCAGACTATCGCATACTCTTCCCACTTTTATGCAATCTTTGAAAACATATCTCAAGGAAGCCTATCCTGCCTTCAGCTGATAACCGAATCTTCTATTTCTCCTATCAGTTCATCCCCCACAGTTATTACCTTTTGTACCACCAGCCCCTCCCTCTTAGATTGTAAGCTCCCAGGATCAGGGCCCTCCTATCCCTCTTGCATTGAACTGTATCGTTGCTGTGTTGTCTCCCTTTATATTGTAAATGCTGGGCAAACTGTTGGAGCTGTATAAATCCTGTATAATAATAATATTTACAATAGTTACTACTTGGCTCTGGTTTAATGATGGTTTCCAAGCCCCAGTTGTGACCAGGGTACATTGACGCTGCTGGAGGTCTTATGACATGGCAATTTTACAGCAGGGCTTATGTAGACACCATTTGAGGCTGTTCAGACCCTGGCTAAGTACTGTTTCTTTCAACTTGATCTGGTCGTTTTGTCATTGACTTGCGCATTTTGGGGATAGGAGGGGGGCACTGTGTTCTGTATGAATCCTCATTTCCCCACTATGTTTGGGGTTCCTCAGGTCTAATTATTATCACAAGCTGAATTGCAGTGGATTGTATAAATCTCAGTTTAATAAAAATCATCTAAAAAAGCTACAAAACTTTGTAAGGATCAGACACCAAAAGTGCCTGTTTATCTCCACTCACCGGCCACTTTATTAGGCCCACCTTGCTAGTACCGGGTTGGACCCCCTTTTGCCTTCAGAACTGCCTTCATTCTTATAGATATAAACTCAACAAGGTGTTGGAAACATTCTTCACAGATTTTGGTCCATATTGACATGACAGCATCACGCAGTTGCTGCAGATTTGTCGGCTGAACATCCATGAACCGTTGATACAAGGCAGGAAGGATCCATGCTTTCATGTTGCTTACGCCAAATTCTGACCCCATCATCTGAATGTCGCAGCTGAAATCGAGACTCATCAGACCAGGCAACGTTTTTCCAATCTTCTATTGTCCACGTTTGGTGAGCCTGTGTGAATTGCAGCCTCCGTTTCCTGTTCATAGTTGACAGGTGTGGCACCCGGGGTGGTCTTCTGCTGCTGTAGCCCATCTGCTTCAAGGTTCAATGTGTTGTGCTTTGAGGGATGGTATTCTGCATACCTTGATTGTAACGAGTGGTTATGTGAGCTACTGTTGCCTCTGTCAACTGAAACCAGTCTGCACATTCTCCTCCGACATCAACAAGGTATTTCCGTCCACACATCTGCCGCTCACTGGATATTTTCTCTTTTTTGGACCATTCTTTGTAAATCCTAGAGATGGTTGTGCATGAAAATCCCAGTAGATCAGCAGTTTGTTTTTTAAATATTCAGACCAGCCAGGCACCAACAACCATGCCACGTTCAAAGTCACTTAAATCCTTTTTCTTCCCCATTTTGATGCTTGGTTTGAAGTTCAGTAAGTTGTCTTCACCACATCTACATGTCTAAATGCATTGCAGCTCCCATATGATTGGTTGATTGGCGATTTGTGTTACCAAGCAATTGAACAGGTGTACCTAACATGGGGGCCGGTGAGTGGCCTAGGCGATTGCAGCGCAAGTGGGAGAAGGGTACCCAGGGGCGGACTGACCATTTGGAAACTCTGGCACTGCCTGAGGGCCCGGGGTCAGTAGGGGGCCCCATGAGATGCCCCTGGTACCTTTTTCATAGGCTTTTTTGAGTTTGGGCAAGGACACGGGCCCCATGATCCCCTATTGCCCGGGGGCCCCATGAGTTGTCAGTCCGCCCCTGGGTTATACCAATGTTTTTGTCATTTATGTGCCATTGATAACCCCTGCATGGGCACACCTTTTTCTTTGAGTTTGGGCAAGGACACAGGGGCCCCATGATCCCTTATTGCCCAGGGGCCCCATGAGTTGTCAGTCCACCCCTGAGGGTACCTCTCAAATTCGAGTACCTGCTCCCCCTCCCCACTCCCCAAAGGTGCTAATCCTTAATGGGGAGCAGGGGGGCAAATGCCTAAAGCGGAACTTCCCCTTTTGGGTGGAGCTCCACTTTAACAAGTGGTATTCAGATCTTTATTATTATTATTATGATTATCATTTTGATTATTATTATTATTTTTTTTTTATTATTATTATTATTATTATTATTATTATAGCAACTGCAAACAGAGGCATCAGAGATCTCCTGGATTTACATGCAGCTCCATCTGCTGGCTCCAAGTGGTTCATA